CTCATCATGGGGGGAAGCATCAACGTACAAGCGCAAGGTGTTGAAAGTTGAGATCCTTCGCAGGCACCAGCAGAAGTTTGATGGTACTGCACATTCGTCAACTCGCATCGCACAGCGCTGCTGTCGCCGCCAAACTCAGCACCACCCCATGTTACCACGGAGGCATCACCAGGAACACGTCTTGAAGAAAAAACACGACCGAAAGCTTCGCAGACCCAGCACCTGCACCGCAGCAAATGGTAGGCTCAAGCCGTCCTCATCGTGCACTCCAGATTCTCGAACGGTGCTCCCTCCATCCAAAATTGATCGACAACCGTCGAACAATGCTGTCCTCATCGTGCACTCCAGATTCTCGAACGGCGCTCCCTCCATCCAAGATTGATCGACAACCGTCGAACAATCTGCGCTTGCCGACTGACAAAGCGCGCTGTGATTGTTTCTGAAAAGAAGCGATGTTCATGTCCAATTCGGCATCCAGACAAACTCCTCTGCCACTGAGCAGATTCACATGGAGTCTGAACGACGTGATGCAAACTCAGCCTGGTGGCAGCTACGTGTTTAACTGTGCCTGAAAATGTGAAGACGATGTGAAACTATCTGATCATCTGTGGAATTCATGGCAAATTGGGTTGCGTCACAGATTTTTGTACCTGTGGCGCCCAATTTTCAAAACCCATCCAAAGGACCAAAACAAATAAGGGAGGAGAGGGTGGAAAACGGGTAAGCATCACGAAGTGTGCATCACATGGGGATGCACCGAGGGGATACTGATACTGTGTATCATCCCCCATCAACAACGAGGGGCTATCCCCACACAGACTTCTCAAATCTGACTCTGCCTGACACAACCTCTGATGGCGGTACCGCCCTGATAGCATCCACAAGTCCAATCTGAAACTGCCGAATTCCAGAAGCGGAATCAGCACTGACAGGTCGAGCTCCGACCACACAACAGGAGGGCGCAGCTTTGGACAGAAATATTCAAAGTAATGCTTAGTGATGCGATCCGCTTCCACATTGGCATCACGTGGACGCCAACTGAGGTGACATCTGACTCCGAGTCGATCGCATTTATCAACATATTGCACGAGAACAAACATCACGGGCAGCCTTAGTCGTGAGCAACTTCAAAAACAGCGCCTCAGCATCCCTATTGTCGGTTCCTCCAGAAAAGAAGGATCTCAAAAGTCCAGGTCCACTGAGGAGTTCTCCAAAGTCCCGTCCCAGGATGCGAAGTGCCACCAAGGAGGACAACAATCGGCCGACGCGGATGCGCTAGCCCATGGTGAGCTGAAATTGTTGAAAACCCAGGGTGCCTCTTCCACACTCAGAGTAAGCTGGTCTCATGGAGCGGCGCCTGGTGATCCCCCACAGCGCAAGAATCAGCTTCCCAGCACGACGCTGTCATAGTTACAAGCAGCATCAGTCCGAAAAACCTTGCCAAGGTCCCTTTCGCCCAGGCCACCAGCAGGATAAGTTCGGGCCCCCGACTTCAGACGCCGGCTGATGAAATTCAAGTTGCATCGTACCAGATTGGGCAGTGATAAAACAGCTCCCCTCTGTACCACCGAAAATCAGGCATAACAGGGGGCAAAGGGCCTGATCCAAACCAAGACCTGGGACATGAAGGCAGGTCATCCATAAGCTCACGGTACCTGCGGACATCCACCAGCCAGTCATTGCTTTCAATACGATCAATGCTGGAGACGATCCAAAGGCACTTCTTTTACACCAAGATGACACCGGGTGTAGTCAATCTAGTAACCGACCCAATCAACACGCAGCCCGCCACGCCATTTGTGATCTGAAAAGGGAGCGCCTGCACGCACAACAGAGCCGGCATAGTCCAGATAGGGAGCCAACGTTCTTGACCCCCACTCACCAGGCGGAGATCATCCGCGTAGATCAGCACAAAGATGACAAGCTGGTTCCTGTAGGATTCAAGGAAACCGTGGGCGAATCGGCCCGCGTCTTGCATGCCAAAACACCCCCGTGCTCGGGACGATGGAGGTACCTCCTGTGGGCCTTTGACACATCTCCAACAACACCAAAGAAACCCTGTTCATCAACGACGGATTTAAGTTTCTGAAGAGCCGAAATCCTTCGCGCCCCGGAGACTCCAAGCGGTCCCTCACGAAGGCCCATCTTTGTAATTCCGCATCTCCGGCTCCCAATCAGACTCGTCGTTTTTATGGCCTTTTCCTGGCACGGTAGACCTGCGGAATCGGGCGAATACGTGCCAGGTGTCCCACTTCCACGCCAGCACAGAAGCAGAATTTTCTCTGTTCCAAAATCTGAAAAATCCGAATCTACGAGGACCCGAGGATCTCCAAAGTCTGGGCCATAGCTCTCAAATAGAAGGCTGATGAGGTGGCAGCGGTGTCGCCAAAACAGCTGCAGAGGTCTGAAAATCTTAAGGGCCTTCTGTTCGGAGAAGGTGCTGACCCTTGCAAGGCAGGTAGGTCACTCCCTTTCCATATGGTTCCAAGCCGAACAAGGTATTTGCGGATTCCTTCAGGGCCCTATCAGCAACAGGTACATCGGTAATCTCAACAGCTCCCGCAACCCTGAGCAAGATTACGCACAACTCTCTCTCAGTCAGATCTTACACACACCGACAACTCACGCGCATCAACTCCAACCAAGCCAAAACTACGCCTCCAAGCCGACATGTCCGCAAGCATAGACTCTCTGGCCTCATGTCCACGTCCGCCTGAAACTTCTCGATACTGTCTTTACCTACAAAGATTCCTCGCTTCCAAGGTTTTCCCTTTTCTAACCTTCAGTCCCCGCTGAACCAGGTTTGACGGCCGTCAAATCCGTCCAATCTGTCAAAAAAATGGCGTTTTGAAGCGCTAGAAGGCCTGTCGACGCGTTTCAGCATTTTGACATGTCCAAGCTTGCGCGTCAAATGCGGCGAATGGCACTCCGCGGCGCGGCGTTCTGTCCAGCGATCCAGCTGTGTCATCATTGGGCAAGGTGCAGGTGAGAAGGAGTACCATTCTAGAAAAGGCAGTGGGTTTGGGAGCTCATACGACTCTTCACTGTCCGCACTCCGAAAAGAAACGCCTGCAACCGAAAACAAACCACTGGCCCAGGCAAGAAACTTTGCAATCTCTTTCCACGTATTGAGTTCTTGCATCGCCATTATGTATGACAGGAGACATATCATCGATAACGCAGCAATGTGTCGGACTTCACATAGATCAAGACTGCAACAGAGAAACAAACAGACTGTCAGAGCCGAATAAGTTTCTCTTGGCATCTTCTCTCTGTCAAAGACCATGGTTGCACAACGCGGACCGAAAAAGTTTGCCCTGCGTGCAACTCTGGGACTTCAATTAAGCATCTGCCTGCAAAGATGTTTCATGAACCCAATCAGGCATACAGACTTCCTTTAAACCTGCTCATCCAACGGAACTGCACGCAGCAACATCATGGCATACGCACTGCGCAACACGCAACTGTCTGCATGCAAATTGGGTTCAAGAATAGCCCACGCGCAACACCGAAAACAAATCTGAGAATTCGACTGCACGCAGCGCGAAAACCTTGTCGCTGTACACAGGTTGTTAAGTAGCAATCTAATGGTGATGACCCGAGGTTGAGAGTCATCAAGGGGCTCAACGTGGAGGAAATCAAGCAGGGCTATACACTTGGTGGCAAAGCGGAGCCATCTTGCCTTTACGTACACAGTCTCTCTTCTGGATTCACTTTTTTCGCGAAGTAGCGGATAGCACTGCTCAGAGATGTTGACTTTGCGTAATCGTACGGTGCCAAACTGCACCTATGGCCAAACAACCAACAAGCACCAAGAAGCAAATACCCTTGTATTGAAAGTTGTCAACCTGGACCTCTTTCTGGGCACCTTGACCTTGATCATGCTCAACTCTCCTAGCCGGCTCCAGTCCTCTGCCACGCACACAGCGCTCACAGCTCGCATTAAAAGCAACATGGCTTCGCAAAATGTGGCCCTACTAACCTTGCCCCACTGTTCACGCTGCAACAAATCACGGTCTCCACGCATCAACCAGGCCTCAGGGTTCTCTTCGCGGTACTCCTCCAAATCACCAACAGCCACGCCAACATCATGATCAACGTCAAGCTCAACCGTTTGTTTTTCTGCACTGGTTGCAGGCTTGAGCCAACACATTTGTGTTGACATGTTTTGTCATATGCTCTCACAAGCTGGTTTTCAACTTGACTGTTCACAACACGCACGCAACTGTACTTCCTTGCACACACACACACACACACTTCCTACACAGCGTATTGGGCTTGGGGTATTCACACATAGTTACTAAGGTTAACACCCCGCCTTGGTGTAGCCGCAGGCTATCCTTTCGATACTGGGGCTACACCACAAACTCAAACTTTCCTAAAGTCTGTACCAGTAACCACCAATCCATATTAGGATCAGTCAACTTTCCAAACTGTGCAAACTTTCTGCTTCCTACTTTCTTCATTTTGTTTCTTTCTTGATCTTTCTTTTCTCCATCTTGTGGCGCTTGGCATTAGTTACCTTTGTGACTTCCTTGGACATTCATGTCCTCACACTCGTGTAATTGAACTTCTCCTGCTTTCACTTCGGTCTATGTACAAACTTGCAGCTTTACATATGTACACAGTCTCACTTTCCTCAGAGGCCAACTTCAAGCTCTGCATTGGCGGCATTCTCTGAAGCCACGGCCCACCGCTTCACCTTTTGTCATAATACGCAGCTGCCTGTCACTATGATGACGTAGTCGTGGACACTTCTGGGGTATGGTAACATACTCCAGTTCGAGTCACTCTCACTAGAACTTGGTCAGCTGCCACGCGCCTTCTGTACTCCATGGCATTGGCCTCTGCTCTAAACTCAGCCATAATTGCTTCTCTTTGTTGTTGCAGCTCTCGTCGGTGGTGTTCTTCACGTTGTCGTCTTTCTTCTTCCTCTCAGCGCATTTCCTGGCGCATTTCCTAGATTATCTCTGCTCTCATCCAAGCATTCAACCTTTCCTCTACTTCTTCTTGGCTTCCATACTCTTCCTCTCTTCTCTGGCGCCGCCTTCTTGGCCCAACTTGTTGAGGCTCACCTGCAGGTTCAGGTTGGCGTTGAGGCTCTCCAGCTGGTTCAGGTTGCTGTTGAGGTTCTCCAGGTAATTTTCCTTGTTGTTGAAGTTCTCCAAGTAGTTCTCCTTGCTGTTGAGGTTCTCCAGGTAATTCTCCTTGCTGTTGAGGTTGTCCAGGTTATCCTCCTTGCGGTTGAGGTTGCCCAGGTTATCCTCCTTGCTGTTGAGGTTGCCCAGGTAGTCCCCCTTGCTGTTGAGGGGGTTCATTTAGTTCTGGTTGGTGTTGAGGTCCTGCACGCGGTTCTTCTTCTGGCTCTGCTGGTCCTGTCATCCTATTCCACATGAACCAAACAACCGTTGCCATGAAGATGCTCAGCAAACCAACCAAACAAACATCACGCACAAACCGCATGAACTCATCCGTGTCGTCGTAGCCGAAAAACTCCATTCCTGCGTCACGTACAGAAACACTGGATAGGTCAGCTCCTTCTCACCTCGGACACCTATTCCTTCTAGCAACATCACTGCTTCAACCAAACGCGTCATCGACACAACTGCTTGTCCTCCTTAGCAAACTCTTGTTGCAAACTGCTTTGTAAACTTCCTCCTCTCCACCTTTTTCCACAGGGTCTTCACTACTTCTAACGAGCGTTCCCTTCTTGCCTTGGTTAAGTCTTTTTGTGTTGAGGTCGCTGAGGTGATCGGTTTGAAGGATAATGTTTCGTCTCTTACCGCATCTTGCAGCCACAAACTGCGTGCTGCCATGCGCTTGAGCCTTCCTATTCCGGCTCGTTGCAGCCATTGTCTGGCTGACGAAGAATTGCGGAAGCGGAACCTGTTCAAGAGAAACACAGAGCGCTTCACAGCCCATGCTCTGCTCTGATGGAAATTCCAACTTCGTTCGCGTGGTCAGAACAAGCATTTTCTCAAGCTCTGCGGCCCATTATCTCCGACACAGAAATTATTTGCTGCTGGTTTAAGAGATCTTCTGCACAGAAGTTGGATCAAGCTTCTGAATCTTACTTGAAGCCGCCTCTAGCCGGGACGAGGGGGTGCGAAGCACTCTTCTCAGGTCAATGTTGAAGTGTCAGGCAGCGTAGCGCGTCGACAATTACTACTACAATTACTACTACTACTATTATTACTACTACTACTACTGCTACTACTGCTACTACTACTACTATTATTACTATTACTATTACTATTATTATTACTATTACTATTAATTGTTACTATTACTCTTATTATTGTTATTTCTATTACCATTACATTAATATTATTATTACTATTACTATTACTATTATTATTATTACTATTACTACTGTTATTATTATTATTACTATTATTATTACTATTATTATTATTACTATTACTATTACTATTACTATTCCTCTTACTATTGCTATTATTATTACTATTACTATTATTATTACTATTACTATTACTATTACTATCACTATTACTATTACTATTACTATTATTATTACTATTACTATTACTTCAAGACTTTCACAAAAAAAATATTTTATTGCAACAACATACAACTGTCTAGCGGACTTGCAGAAATCTCACCATGGCATCCCGATTCGACGACGCAGACGCAGCACGGCTTCCTTGGTGGTCAACTCCTTTCTGAAGTAAACTGAATTTGAATTTGCCAGAGGATAACAGCAAGTGAAAGATGCTTTTTGAAAAGCGTGCTAGATTGCCTGTTCTTTTTTCTGACATTGCTGGTAAATTGGAAAAATTGTATCTGCTTTAACGCAGACGCAACAAAAAAAACAGCCAAAAAAACCAAAAAAGCAGACCCAAACCTGGTCTCGGATCCCCCTTATGTGTTTTGCAAGTTTCAAATCTGTTCAGTTTAAAGAATTAATGAAGACACTTTCTATTTTCCAAATCATAGCTGTTAATGCACTTTGCCTCTTGGTCTTCCAGCATCAATATCAAAACCTGCCAAAAAAAAAGCGCAGAAAGTAAGCAGAAAAGACCAAACAGAACAGAGACCGTACCCGGAAGTCTTGCTGATTCTTTGTTTTCACGGCCAATAATGCCTTTCAAAATGTTATGTCTGTGTGTTCTGTTGTCTTCTATTCGACCTCTGATGATCTTCTGTTGTGTTTGTTTTGGTCTGCTGTCGACTGTCATCGTTTTCTGTTGGTGTTCTGTTGGTCGTCCGTTGGTCTTTTGTTGTTTTCTGTTGGTCTTCTGTGGCTGCTATTGACCTTCTATTGGCCTTCTGTTACCTTGTTAGTCTTCTGTTGGTCTTCTGCGTCTTCTGTCGTTTTCTGTTTTGTCTGTTAGTCTTCTGTGTTAAAAGGCTGTTTGCCAAC